TTTTGTATTTTTAGTAGAGACGGGGTTTCACCGTGTCTACTAAAAATACAAAAAATTAGCTGGGCATGGTGGCGCGTGCCTGTAATCCCGGCTACTCAGGAGGCTGAGGCAGGAGAATTGCCTGAACCCAGGAAGCGGAGGTTGCGGTGAGCCGAGATCGCGCCATTGCACTCCAGCCTGGGTAACAAGAGCGAAACTCCGTCCCAAAAAAAAAAAAAAAAAAAAGACAAAACTTAACGGGTTGTACAAGAAAATCCTAAGAAATCACAAAAGTTATGTATAAAGTGAGTCCCAGGTACTCAGATTAACCAAAATCCAAATATTCGAACTAAAATGTATAACCGTAAGAGGCTAGGTGGGGTGGCTCACACCCATAATCCAATCACTTTGGGAAGCTGGAGGCAGACGGATCACTTGAGGCCAGGAGTTGGATGCCAGCCTGGTGAAACCCTGTCTCTATTAAAATGTATAAGCTTAAACTTCAAACAAATACAGTGAACTACTAATTTTACATGGCAAATGTTAAGAGATGGTAAAGACTGAAAAGCTTAGTAAATAATTTCTCAATAGCTATTTAAATTAAATAGAGATCCATAATAGTGAATTCAAAAAAACCAACAAAATTTGAGGTATGCCTGCAACCTCTTCTGTGTCATTAAAAACAATAGCATTTACCTTCACAACTTATTCCATTATTGGAAGATCAGATATTACTCAATATGGCTTTTCTTACACACAGCTTTATTCTTACTGTTTAAAAAATAATTAATTTGGGGGTTTTTTAAAAGCTTAATTGTTCAGACTCACATTAAAAAACGCCATACAGCCAGGCATGGTGGCTCACACCTGTAATCCCAGCATTTAGGGAGGCCAAGGCGGGTGAACTGCTTGAGCCTAGGAGTTCAAGATCATCATGTGCAACATGAAGAAACCCCATCTGTACTAAAAATAGAAAAATTAGCTGGGAGCGGTGGCGTATGCTTGGAGACCCCGCTACTCTGGAGGCTGAGGTGGGAGGATCACCTGAGTCCAGAATATAGTGGGCCAAGATGGTGCCACTGCACTCCAGCCTGGGCCACAGAGTGAGGCCCTGTCTCAAAAAACAATTTTTTAAATGCTATACACCAAATACATTAAAAATGCAATAATATCTATAAAACTAAAGTTTTATTTTAGGCTCACAAGCAGTCTTATAAATATAAATTTCAAATGGTAAATGATAAAGTCCCATTTTTAATTCTTGAATTGTTTTGAAGACCAAAAATATCAGCGAATTTCTGCATCTACTTAAATTGTAAGTATTCCCTAAAACTGCCGCACTAAAAATGTAATCCAGATCCAAAGAAGGAAGGAAAACAATCTGATATTATCACCTCATTTATGCTACAGCTTGACTGAAGCATCACAGTTTTTCCTATTTGTGTTCCAAGCTAGCAATTTAGCACTAACAGAGATACTAAGTTTCACCGTGAAAGAAAGTCACTTCAAAACACATCTCCATACAGCAAAAAAGAATAAAAAATAAACATAGCAAATATACATACTCCTTTTGGAAAGCCATGCACATGGGAGAACTAAATCCAAAGATAAGGCACGCCTGGGCATCCGGGCTGTAGCCATTCCGGAGTAGTATTTCTAGGCACTCTTCATGTCCCCCAAACACGGCTGAGTAAACAGGGCTCACTTTGTTTAGCCCAGTGTCACAGACCCGGCTAGTAAGTGGCACTAACAAGTCCAAGATTCTATAAATACACAAATTCAGGAGCATTTAAAATACACAAATTCAGAAGCATTTAGTGTATTTACATGTGCACAAGTGCAGACAACATTTCTATAGCATAATTTTTTTGGAATCACCAATTGATTAATTTAAAGAACTATTTCTGTCTAGGGTGTACCTTCTACCAACAACATTACATTGAACTATTACATGCTACACATTTACTATAAAATGTTACACTTATTGCTTCATACAAAGGTCATTAAATACATCTGAAACAAAATTAATTAACATTCCTATATATAAGTAGAAAAGGTGGTCTTTTAAATTTATTACCTTATTAGCACCACCTTATTCCCCAAAGTTCAAATTTTATGTTAGATATTTTAGCATCTAATAAATTATTTAAAACATCACTATACCAAGTATAAACTGGCATCAAAAAAATATACTATTTTCCTTCTTAAGTACCAATTAATTTTACTTTTCCAATTAGTAAAAATTTTTAAAGATGATAGGTAACATGAAATGAAGACTAATATTTTCATCAGAAATTCCAATTTCTGCTAAAATATTCTATTATCTGAAAAAAAAGTGAGCTCGTTAAATACGAAGGCAGATTTATAAAAAAGCTGGTTCCTAGGTAGAGAAATTTCTAAAGAAAATAATTAAAACAAAAGTTCTTAGGTTATTTGTAAACTTACCTCTAGCAGTCAACTGGAAAGAAAAAAGGACTATTCCACCCTTTTAAATTAAAAATAAAACTGTACAAATAAAACCAGGCTCTCTTTCTGGGAAAAGACAGACAGGGTTACTCTGAAGTATTTTTATAACAATTATACTTCTCTTTGCAAATTTTCTTTATGTAATGTAGGTCTAAGATAACATTTAAGTAGAACTTACATTCACAAAAAGGGCTACCTTTGAAGTAGGCTATAAGGAAAATCATCAGTGACAATCAGAATTCTCAAAATTGAGAATGCCCAACAGAGTTTTGGTATCACTTAAAGCTCTGAGAATAATATCTAATATTTATGTTTAAACAAATGATCAAGAATTGAGGAAAATATCAAAACTTAAAATCTAAGTATTTTGTTAAAATAGTCTATTAAATGTCTCTTAAATTTAATAAATGTGTTTAATTTTTTAAAATAGGCTGGAAAAACTACTTTCCCACAAGACATAAACATGCTTACAAATCTCATTAATGAAATAGTAAAGTATTGTGCCACCTAGTGGCATAATGATCAAATTGCAGAATCTGTTTTCCTTTTATGTAAACAAACTAAATTAAGTAATGAATATTTTACTATTACTTTTTAAATTAAATAATACTATGAACAGCTATAAAAAGTATTACTGTAGAATTATGACTCTAAAGATTTTAAACATATATTTCTAAAAACTGTTGACTGCCAATTTATGAAAGGCAGCCATATTCTCACAGACATAACCAAGTTACCAGATTCTAAGATTTCTAGAAGCCCCATTTACTCTCTCTCCATAAAAATTCCCAGCCGGATTTGAGATTAGATCAAAAAAAGTTCAGTCAAAGGATTTAAGACAGGGAGGACTCCTTAGCACACACTCCAACAGGCTTTCTGTTGGAAGCACATAAACTCAAAAGCTTTCTAGGGTCAGAGAGGTAACATGGATAAGGCCATCATCAGAATGAGTCTTAAAGATGACTGGGAAAAAACTAGGGAGGAGGAGGCAGCTACAGCCATAACTAGAGAAATCAATGGAAAGACTCAACACCCTGAGAAAGTCCCTGAGCCTGCCCCATCTCTAGCAACTTTGCCTCACAATATGAAAGTGCAGGACTCATAGGAGGAGCAAAAGATAGCATGAGGGACAGAACAGGGGTAGATCTATTCACCCAGCAGATGGGTAGGGAGAGAATGTCAAAAATTTTGCCTAGAGGTGAAGGGTCTACCCCAGATTTATTCTTTATTAGCTTTTGATTAAGAAACCATATTTATTTTCTGTTTTTAACACTTACTTTGAATGGCCCATTTGTGAAGCTGCATGAACAGGTAACTGCCAATTATCCTCATTACAATAAAGATCAGGATCCGCTCCACTGGAGAGCAAAAGCTCCACACATTTGGTGTGTCCCTCTTGAGCAGCAATGAACAAGGGAGTAGCTTTGTCCAAGGCCTGACAATTGACATTTGCACCTAATACAAAATAAAACATTTAACAGATAATTCTCATTTATATTTTTAAAAATCAACATAAATTTCGAAGGAACTACCACAAAAGGGTTTTACAGCACAATAGTTTTTCCTTCGTCACCTGGATGTTGAATGTTGTTACATAAACATAGTTACTTTGCTAACTTTTTGCTAATCATTTAAATAGTCTTTGCTAAACTGACAGGGTGGCTCATGCCTGGAATCCCAGCAATTTAGGAGGCTGTGGCCAGAGGATTGCTTGAAGCCGAGACCAGCCTGGGCAACATAGTAAAACCCTGTGTCTATAAAAAATAATAAGGTTTTGCTTTTAAGAGCAAGAAAATAAGTGATTCGTATCTTAGAATTCATTTTTAAGTTAAAACAAAAAATCCTGTTCAATGAAGGATACATTTCATTCCAATCACTCCTCCAGCAAGCATTCTGCAAGCCCAGTAAGTAAACATTTAAAAAGAAAAAATGCAAACATGGATAATATTTCTGATAATTACTGAAAAAGGTAAAATCTAATTATGTCACTCTAATTGATTCAGGCTAAGATTTATGAAAAAATTATCAGTAGATATGGCAGCTGTGCCTTAAAACTAATATTGACTATACTCTTTATTACATCTCTTCTTTCATAACCACTGTATGATAAATAAAACCTACTATCAGAGAAAAAGAGTCTCTTTAAACAGGTTTCTGAGTTGATATTTAAAATCATAAATGTGAAAGGGAAAAATAATAACATCATAGTGAAAGAAAGAAAAACAAAATATCCTACCCATATGAAAATAATTACAAAAATTGTTTAAGTGCGAGTGTCTCCAGATGAAAAGGAACTACCATAAGAATTTTGGATTTGTGAAAAATCTAAATGTAGTGACACTACCAAAGAATCATAGTAGTTAGTGCTCCAGCAATGGTTCCCGACCCAAATGGAAACTCAGAAATGACAGATAAAGAACTCAAAGCAATGACTGCAAAGAAGCTCAACAAGATCCAAGACAAGGTTGAAAATAAACACGAAGAAATTTCTAAAGCAATTCAGGAAATGAAGGCAAAGATAAACATCTGAAAAAGGAATCAATCAGAGCTTCTGGAATTGAAAAACTCACTTAAGGAATTTCAATATACAACTGTAAGTTTTATTAATAGACTAGACCAAACAGAAGAAAGAATTTCGGGGCCTGAAGATCAGTCTTTCAAACTAACCCAGTCAGATGAAAATAAAGAAAAAAAATTTTTAGTGAAAAAGGCTTTGAGAAATATTTGATAATGTAAGGCAACCAAATCTATGAATTATTGGAATTCCTGAGCGAAAAGGACGAAAAGTAAATGAACTGGAAAACATATTTGAGGGAATAATTTAAGAAAATTTCCCTAATCTTGCCAGTGAGGTAGACACCCAGATAGAAGAAATCCAGAGAACTCCCCGTGAACATGAGTATCACTAAGATATATAGTCACCAGGCTGTTCAAGGCTAATGCTAAAGAAAAATCCTTAAAGGCAGTGAGAGAAAAAGGTCAGATCATATACAAAAGGAATAGTGGACTTAGCAGAAACCTTACAAGCCAAGAGAGATTGTGGGTCTATTTTCAGCATTCTTAAAGACACTACAACCAGGAATTTCATATTCCACCAAACTAAGCTTCACAAATGAAGGAGAAATAAAATCTTTTACAGAGAAGCAAGCACTAAGATAATCTGTTATCAGCAGATCAGCCTTAGCAGCGATCCCTAAGAAACTTCTAAAGATGGAAATGAACAAATACTGCTACCACAAAAACACACTTAAGTGCATAGCCCAACGATGCAATAAGGCAACCATACAGTAGAAACTACAAAGCAACCATCTATCAACTTAATAGGATCAAAATCTCACATATCAATGTTAACCTTGAATGTGAAGGGTCTAAACACCCTGCTTAATACTCTGGTTTCTCTTCAGACCATATAAACCTTTCACCTTTTACTAAACACCTCCCTTAAAAGGCACAGAGTTGCAACTCGGATTTTAAAAAAAAAAAAAAAGACCCATCTATCTGCTGCCTTCAAGAGACCCATCTCACATGTAATGACACCCACAGGCTGAAAATAAGGGTTGGAAAAAGATCTATTAAGCAAATGGAAAACAAAAAAGGTCAGGGGTCACTATTGTTTTATCAGATAAAATAGACTTTAAATCAAACAACAGGGCCAGGCACAGTGGCTCACGCCTGTAATCCCAGAACTTTGAGAGGCCAAGGTGTGACAGAGCAGGAATATCACCATCTTGCACAAACACTAGCATTTTAAAATTCACCTTAATCAAAAACCACCTAAATCCAAAGGGCATCAGCCTAATGGCCAAGGTCAGCATGACCATAAACCACAAATAACATCTCCAAACGGAAATATTTCAAACTCCTCCCTGACCAGAGACATGCTAGCTGCCCCACTCCAGCTGGGAAGATGCCAGCCCCGAGATAACTCATTTTCTTGCCTCACTCCAGCTGGGAAGATGCTAGCCCCAAGATAACTCCCCTCATCCTGGAAAGATGTCAGCTCCTTCACCCAGAGCCTCCCACATAAACATTCCAAGCTTGTGATAAACCCTCTCACCCTAAAACCAATATATACTCTTAGTTTGTAAGAGAAAGCACTCTTGACCAAAATCAGCCAGAAGCCCTTCTCAGGTTTTGTCTAAAGTAAACCTGTCTTTAACTACCAAGCTGTGTTTTGTGTTTCTTTCCTCTTTCTTTAACGCTTACAAGGTGGGAGAACTGCTTGAGCTCAGGAGTTCAAGACCAGCCAGGACACTGTGAAAGGAAAATAAATCTTGGGACCCCCAAATCACTAAACCAAAGGGAAAATTCAATCTGGGAACTGCTCAGGGCAACCCTGCCTCCTATTCTATTCCTAAAAGAGACAGCTACTAAGATAAAAAATACCTCCCTCACAAGGAATTTCCTTGTGAACAAAGGATAGACAGAACTCAAAGTCATCTCTCTGCTACTGAAATAAGTACATATCTGATTGCGTCCTTTGGAAAGGCAAATCAGAAACTCAAAAAAAAAAAAAAAAAGCAAACATTTATCTCCTACCTACCAATGACCTGGACACACTCTTCCCACTTTGAGTTGTCCTGTTTTTCCATACAGAACCAATGTATATCTTACATATATTGATTTGATGTCTCAAGTCTTCCTAAAATGTATAAAACCAAGCTGTGCCCCAACCACCCTGGGCATATGTTGTCAGGACCTCCTGAGGACTGAGACCTGTCTCAGATATTTGGGGTTCTGAGAAAAAAAGAAAATAATTATATATTTAAAAACCCAACAACAGTACAAAAGGACAAAGAAGGTAATTACATAATGATAAAGGGTTCAACAAGAAGGCTTAACCATCCTAAATATACACACACCCAACAGTTTCATAAAATAGCTCTTAGAGATCTATAAAAGCATAGTAATAACAGTGGGGGGATTTCAACATCCCATTGACAGCATTAGACAGATCACTGAGGCAGAAAATTAAAAAACAAATTCTGGATATAAATTCAACATTTGACCAATTGGACCTAATAGACATCTACAGAACATTCCACTCAGCAACCACAGAATACATATTCTTCTCAACAGCACACAGAACATACTCCAAGGCTGACCACATGCTTGGCCAAAAAACACATCTCAATAAATTTGAAAAACTGATTCATTTGGAAGGCCAAGGCAGGTAGATCACTTGAAGGTGAGGAGTTCAAGACCACACTGGCGAACATGGTAAAGCCCTATCTGTACTAAAATTACAAAAAAATTAGCCAGCCACAGTGGCACATGCCTATAATCCCAGCTACTCAGGAGGCTGAGGCAGGAGAATCGCTTAAACCAGGAGACGCAGGCTGCAGAGAGCCAAGATCATGCCACTGCACTCCAGCCTGGGCACAGAGCGAGACTCTGTGTCAAAACAAAACAAAACATGAATCATACCGACCATACTCTCAGACCACAGTGGAATAAAAATAGAAATCAATACCAAGAAGATCTTCCAAAACCACACAATTACATAGAAATTAACTTGCTCCTGGATAACTTTTAAGTAAACGATAAAATTAGGACAGATATTAAAAAATTCTTTGAAATAAATAAAGAGACAAAACATTAAAATGCAGTAAAAACAATGTTAAGAAGTTTAGAGCACTAAATATCTACCTCAGGAGAAAAGATCTTTAATGATCTAACATCACACTTAGAGAAACAAAGAAAACAAGAACAAACTAACCCCAAAGCTAGCAGAAGAAAAAAAAAATTAAAATCAGAGTGGAACTGAATGAAATTGAGATCCAAAAATCCATACAAAGGATCGATGAAACCAAAAGTTGGCTCTTTGAAAGGATAAACAAGATTGATAGACTGCTAGCTAGATTAACAAAGAAAAAAAAGTGAAGATCCAAATAAGCACAATCTGAAACAACAAAGTTGACATTACAACAGATTCCACAGAAGTACACAAGATCCTCAGACTGTTATGAACACCTCAATGCAAACAAACTAGAAAATCTGGAGGAAATGGATAAATTACACAATCTCCCAAGACGGAATCAGAAAGAAATTGAAATAGACCATTATCAAGTTCCAAAACTGAATCCATAATAAAAAAACCTACCAACCAAAAAAAGTCCTGGACCAGATGAATTCACAGCTGAATTCTACCAGATGTACAAAGAAGTACTGGTATCAATTCTACTGAAACTATTCCCAAAAATCAAGGAAGGCAGGACTCCTCCGTAACTCATTCTACAAAGCCAGCATCACCCTAATACCAAAACCTGGCAAAGAAACAAGGAAGAAAGAAAAGTACAGACCAATATCCCTGATGAACATAGGCACAAAAATCCTCAACAAAATACTAGCAAATCAAATCCGGCAACATATCAAAAGTTAATGCATCATGATCAAGTAGGCTTCATTGTTGAGATGCAGGGTTGGTTCCATATACACAAATGAATAATTAGGAT